TAGCAATGTCTCTTTCTAACAGTGGCATAGGCACATCCTTGGTCCTTGTATTGATGGTTCACCTTTTGGTTTGTGGCTTTATTTTTTCTCTCCCTCCAGATTTGGTGCCTATTGCCCTTAGTTAGGCAGCAAATTACAAATATATGCATATGTCCTTCCAAGTCATTCATTTCCAATCTTGTTTTTCCCTGCCTGCTGTGAGAAGTATTAGGATTTACTTGAAATTTACTTAAATTATGCTATTACATATAACAAAATTATTTCAGTTATACAAGATGAATGAACCATGAAGAAAATGATTGGTTCACCCTGAATGTTATAAACAACTAATGTCTGGGAGAGGAGAGATTTTAATAAGGAGTACATAAAGCATTCAAGTTATCTGACAAATAGGAAAGATCTAGATTTCCTTCTAAACTAGAGCATGGTTTAAGAGACTAAAATGATTGTTTTCACTGAAAGGATCCTATTTAACCATTAGGTTTTTAGAATGCAAGGTAAGCAGTAAGTTAATGGGTTTTAGGTGTTTCTGTGTCCCACAGCCCAAATACTACCACTATCATATATTTGCTTTAATTAATTTATAGATTATCTCATTTTTATGAACTGATAATTACTTAGTATGTCATATCCCAGTCTTCCAAGATAAATGGTTTAACAGAATAACGAGTGTCATTTAAAAAAAAAAAAGTTTTTGTGGCAAAACAAGTTTGAAAACCACAAAGTGGTTTCTTTACTGCAGGGGCTCTGAGATTCTTTAACATGGTAATATGTATTGGGAATCTCCACCATAGAGATAACGTCTCTCATACCTATTTTTCTATGGAATTCTTTCTGGGTAGCATATCTTGTGAAACTGGAATTCCTCTACACATGTGTTAATCCTTTACTAATATCATTGGCAAGGATTAGAAATATTAATAAATGATGGGGCCCCTGGGTGGCTCGGTCGGTTAAGTTGTCTGCCTTTGGTTCAGGTCATGATCTCAGGGTCCTGGAATTGAGCCCCGCATCGGGCTCCTTCTTCAGCGGGGAGCCTGCTTCTCGCTTTCTCTCTGCTGCTCTCCCTGCTTGTGCTCTCTCTCTTGCTATCTCTCTCTCTCTCTGTGTCAAATAAATAAATAAAATCTTTAAATAAATAAGTAACATAAGGCAGTCAAATTTTCTAACAGAAGGAAAGATCCTCCCTCCCCTGTCTTTGGTTCATGAGCTTTTGGTTGAATGAACAGTGCTTGAAACACCACTGATCAGACAAAAGAAATCATCTTTTCATTAATAATGAAAATATGTTCAGGCACTTGGCCTTGAGCAGACGAGGGAAGCACGAAATCGATGCTACCATACAACTCAGATTGGTAAACTGCCAGCCACAAGCCTACATCCGTTTTACCTGCAAGAACTCATTGAAGGTGAATTGTTTTTGTGAGGTAATTTTGCAAATTGTCCCCCCAAAGCACTTTCCCACACTTTGGGGCCTGTCTGCCTTTCCAGGTTACCAGCTTCCAGGCTAATCTGGTACACTTTTCGGTAAGGATTACTGTAATAGCAATGGTTCTCTTTTTATAAATAATTGGTAGCTTGAATTGGATAAGTCCCCTGAGTATTTAGGTTCAGGTATATTTCTTACAAATTCTAATCAGAGTGCAGTTCTTCTCATAATGCCTGCTCTGCATCCTTAGAAGTTGTTAGTAATGGTGACAGAGGTTAGGATCCATTCATGTATGAGTTTCTTTTTAAAACATCAGCTAGAGGGGCATCTGGGTGGCTCAGTCAGTTATGCATCCAACTCCTGATTTCGGCCTGTGGTTTCAGGGTTGTGAGTTTGAGCCCCACATTGGGCTCCACACCCATGCTTAAGGTTCTCTCTCCCTCTTCACCTCCCCCCTCCCTCTCTTGAAAAAAAAATCAGCTAGATTCTTATCCATCAAAAACAAGTTTCAAGTCATGTGAGCTCATCAAACAATTTGTTGATACAAAAGGCAGTTAAGCAGAACAACCAACCATAGACATGGTTTTAAGATTTTAACCTAAAATGAAAGTCCTCTCATTTATTTATACTTAACAACAAATGACCACTACAGACACTTGAAATCATTTATTCAAGGCATTTTTACATAATCTTGCAATCCATAATATAAGCATATAATAAAAGAATGTGAGAGTGTAAAGAAGAATATAAAGCCAGTGTCTGGGCATTTAAAATAAGAGCTCTTCAAAAAAGTTACAAATGTTTTACACATAGGTTACCTGAAAAATTTGGAAGAAATTAAAACTTCATTAAAAACATTACTATACCAGATCACATGTCACTTAGTTCGTAGCAAGCAGTTATATATTAATTAAAAGTTTATATCCTGTGAGCTAAAACTTAATACATTTTACATTCAAGTTGAAATATTTCAGCACCATTTTGGTTTGAAGGATAAATGAAATGCTTTAAGTGTTCAAAAGTGGCCCAGGACTTTTGGTAATTGGGAATGAAATCGAGCTGTTGATTGAATATGTTGATGGTGAATATGAATTCTAGACATAAAAAGTATAGAAAAAGGGTAATTTTTACTTATCAGTGATTATATGGTTAATATCAAAACAAGTTATGTTTAAAACAAAATATTGTCTGTATTTTCAGAAAGTTTGCTGAAGATGAATTCTCAGTGCCACAATCATTTTAGTGCACTGAATTTCCTCCAGAATCTGAATATTGGGGATGTTCGTAAGTGTGATTATCCTATGAGATGTCAGAGAGAGAAAAAATTGTTCATTATTATGAATAATACCTAGTGAATAATTAGATGATAGAGATTGTGAATAAAATTACTATGTAAAAAAATATAGATTTCCTGGAAATAGGCAATGGATTCTTGTGGATATGTGTGGATTTGCATGTTGTAGTACTGTTGGGAGACTGAACCTTAGCCTCAAAAGTCAAGACATCTTTAATCTAGACTATGGTCTGAATAATTATGAAGCCACTAATATGGCATATGGAAGGAGTCAATAAATTATTTTCCTATTTAGCCCTTTTTTTTTCAGAGTCTTTATTAGTCTAAAAGCCAGTCCCTTTTCAGTACTCAACACTCTTAGGTTTACTTCTACTTCCTATTGTAAAAATATTTTATGTGGAATTTGGTAATACTGGATTAGGTTTTTTATTTAAATTTTATTAATGGATGACTTTTACCAGCTAATCATTATATGTGAGTTTTTGTGGTTATTCAGAGGAGAGATCCCTTGAGGTTCAAAAATACTGAGTGTTAAATCAATACTTGGGAGTTCTTTGGGAGTGTTTAGGCGTAGGAGGAAAGAATATTTACATAAGGGATAAGCAAGAATCTTTAGCTTCCTAATTGAAACTTTTTTTTTTTTCAAAATCAATCAAATAGTAGGTGTTATATTTAAGAGGCAGACATTTCAAGGATTGAAAACATAGTTTTAATTATTAGTAACACATACATGCATATAACTATTTATTTTAACTTATTTTTTAAAATAAAATATGGTCATGAAAAACAATGGTGCTAAAAATAGAAAATTTTAGACATGTACTTACAGTTGTTAAAAATGAAATAAGGTGAACCTAAAGGGTAATAATGATATTTTTAATACTTATTGAGGTTAGGGGACAGGTTTTTTTTTTTTTTTATATATCCCAAGGCCTAGCATGTAAGTGCCTGACATGTATTAGGCCCTCAAATGATAACGGGTGGACAGACAGATGGAAGGCTCAGTGAATGATAGTAAATGTCTTCTCATATGTGTCCAAAGACCGTAATATAGTTTTTACAGGGGTAAGAATCTCAATGAAATGATAGGCCTTAATGTGTAGATGCCAGTCTGGCTCAGTATTAATACTGACAGTAGTTTTGTTTTGTTTTTTAAAAAAGCAAGTATATTAAAATACCTCTATTAGAAAAGACTATGACTTGAAAGGATGATCCTACAGTCTTAAAACTAAAAAAGCAACTTAAGGCAAAGAGGTACATCAAAGAAGCTACTCCATAGCTCAGATACTAGCTCAATGAAAGTTCTGGGCTTCTCAAGCTGCATTCTCTGTTGATAAGTTTGTGCCCTGGTAGATGAGGATGGCATCCACCCCTGGATGACAGTCCATCTCTAGCCCCTCTTGCTGTGCTGGGTACTAGTGAGTGCGGGATGACTCTTAGTAGTTGGTGTTGACTTCACAACTCTATGACATATGATACAGGGATGCCAACTCACTTTTAAATTCCACCAAACTAGAAATCCCTCGCTGGAGATTTTAATACTGGCTAATGTAGGAAGACTTCTGCCTAAGCACTGCTAACTTAAAAGTGTCATTTGATTTCTCTCTGTACCTTTTGGAACTAGGAAAAAAAGCAATCTTCCAAATTTTGTTGTGGCACATGGTTTCACAGTTTTAAAATAAAATCACAGCTGTCTCGTTATGCAACACAGTCGTTTGTTTTACAGAAAGTTATTTTTTTCCCTTATTCACCAGCCCCTCAACTATGTAATGTTATGTGCTTTGCTAATTTGGTTTATACTTCAGACACACAGAAAGAAAAAAAGAAAAAAAAAAAACATGTATTACTGAGTCCTGAATGACCTGATAATGTTCCTGTATCTAGATATTATGTTATGTACTCTGGATAATTTAATTTTTTTTTTTGCATTCTTCATTTTAAAGCTGAACATTAAAAAAGTAGAAAAGCTGAAAATCCTAAGATGTTTTTCATTAATGTTTTAAAATATTTGAGAGACAGTTGTGGTTTTGGGGACTTGTTTGTATGATTTTTATGTCAACCAGGAAAATTTTTCAGTTAACTGTTGTACATACTTAAATGCATACATAGTTTCTCTGAATGTATCACATCTATCATCAGAATGACTTCCCATAGACAAAGCTGTCCTCCATACACCAGTCCCCAGATTGGTGATTTTAAGAATGCCACTCAAAAGGTCTCTGCCCATAGGAAAATTAAAGAATTGAGGCAGCAACAACGAATGTCAGACAGGAGTTAGGCAGCTCAGTTACTTAATTTGTTCCGAAACAAAAGATGACTTAAGTCAGAATGAAATTGTACACTGAAGAGAAAGACAGGAGTTTACTAATTTTAAAATGTAAACATAAAATTTTATATAGGGATGTAACTATCTGAGTACATATATTGCCATTTCTCTGCTATATAGTAATATTTCTTGACACCAATGGTAATGTCTGTTCCTTCGTCAGCACCAAATGTGTCTGTATCTATTTGAACAGTAGGAGCCTCCTTTCTAAATTAATCTATGCTAAGACAAATACAAGCCAGTTATTGTTATGGTTCACTGAAATCAAGAAAATTCTCAGTTAATAGTAATTTTGGTTCATTCACTAAAATGTTATTTTCCCTTTTACACTATAATTTCCAAAGGAGCAAAACAAATTTGGATTTCCTTCAAAGAGCCAAAGTGTACCTCTACAGAATGGAAACACTGTGTTCATTCACAAAGTAATATGAATAATATTAAAAATTTCCCAAGTAATGCCAATTTAAATGTTCAAAATCCAGTTATGTGCTTTGTTATAAAACAGTCCAAACAAAAATTCCTTTGTTGCTTTCTGTTCTCTCTTTCAAAATCTATAAATCCTACTGAAGTTAATCTATTTTTTCCCACTTCAAAACACCAGGCACTGATTTATCCATTAGGAGTTCTGGCTTGCTTTCTAATACCTAGATTAAGAAAACAAAATAAGACAAATCATTAACTTGATAATATTATGAGTGAGTACAGTAGACAAGTTTAACATTGACCCTTTCAAAAACATTTGTAGCAATTTCCCTCCACCTATGCAGTAGTCACCTTGTGAAATTACCCACTAATACATTATTTTAATAATGTTTGAAGGAAGCGACTATGTTAGCTGCCGAAAGTGTATGCCTGATACCTACAGACTTAATGTTCAGAGTTAAAAGAAACAGCCTCTGAATTAATCAAGAGTAAAAGCAGGACTTAGAGAACCAGCCGCCCTGTCCAGATGAGTTCCCTCCATGGAGTGGGGCATGTCCATCTAGGAGCAGCTTCGTGGCCACTGCACCATCTCGGGTTACTCCTTTCCCAGCGTGGTTTTGGATGTAAACGGATGCCTTCAAAGGCAGAGACTGAGTCAAAGCCAACCAATCCAATATGTCATTTATACCGTGATCATAGATCCCCATGTAAAGAAACTAAGCAGTCCAAATCATAAACCAGTGATTTCCAAATACTAAGTTTTGTGAGAGGAGAAATTAATCGTAGTATCATAAAACTGAACTGGGCCACAGTCCCTCAGTCCATTTGTTTTGTTGCAGTGAGGAAAAAGAGAGAGGTGGGACTCCTGGCTGGTTAAGCGTCCAGCTCTTGGTTTCGGCTCAGGTCACGATCTCAGGATCCTGAGATCGAGCCCTGCATTGGGCTCCGTGCTTAGTGTGGAGTCTGCTTGACATTCTCTCAATCCCTCTGCTACTGCCCCAGCATACATAGCGTGTGCACCATGTGCTCATGTGCTCGCTCTCACTCTCTCTCTGTCTCTAAAAATTAAATAAATCTTAAAAAAAAGAAAAAGGAGAGTGGATATATCAAAAGCACACCCTGTCCTCCTGGGTAGTTTTTACACACCAGTGGAATGTTCTCCAGTATGCGATTAGCATGAAAACATTGAGCGAACTGAGGGATGATACGTCTTGAAGAGTTAAAAAGGTACAATAACATCACCAAGGGAATCACATGCCGTGCTGCTCTCAGACCTACCAGACTGACCACGCAGCTTTAGGCAAGTTACACTCCTTGCTCAAGGAACTTCAAAGACTCCCCATGGCCTTCAGAATGAAGTTCAAACTTCCTAGCTTGCTCTTCAATGCTCCCTTTGATCTGGTCCCAACTTACTCTTCCATCCTTTTCACCCAAATCTTAACTCCTTAGCCACACTAGAAGACTTGGCTTTCCAAATATGCCCTGCAGTTTCTCCCTACTGTGGGGTGGCCAGTGATGCTGACTCCTCCTGGCATGCCCTTCCTTAACTGCCCCCCAGCCCAGTCCTCCTCAGTCTTCAAGGCCCAGTTCACTTGCTGTCCTAAAGCCACTCCTGACTCTCAGCCAGAGGAAATCTCTCCTTGCTCTGAACGCCGATTCCTAGCAAGGGAGACTAGAAGCGAAAGTCAGAATAAAGGAGGCAGGCATCATTCTCCTGAAGGTGAGGGTTCCTCTCTCAAGGTCTCTGCACATCTCTCATTAGTTTCCACTCATAGAGTGGTTCTTGTTATTTGATTACAAATCACTATGGTCCTTTCACCTTCCCATATTTCCATCTGATCCATATTGCTTATTAAAATTTTACCTCAACCACTCTTGCAATTTAGTTACAGTCAGTGACAACTGGTTTACAAAAAAGAAAGAACAACTCTGTGCTGGAGCAATATAATGATTTTTATTTGTACTAAATACTTGGCAGTATCCAATTCAGTAGATTCTACTCATGAACATGCTATGCCACAGGAGTCACATCTCCAGATCTGTTCTTAGTGCAAGGTCAGCCATTGTACCTGGGGTCACCTAGCCGATAACAGAGGTCTCTGTTTCCCCTGCATTTTATCTTACCCCTCATAGAGTTTTATAGTGCCTCTCTACTACAGTTATATGTGTATTACTCTCGGCCCCCCAATTCCACATCCTAAATTCCCTGAAAGAGAGGGTCGTTTCTCTACTGTGCGAGTGTTGAATGAGAGTCTACACGGTGGCAGGCCTGTACCCGGGAAATGGGCGGGCAGGGGTCTAGGTCCCAGCCATGTCAGAGCGGAGAGGAGACAAACATTATACAGGAGATTCACAAGTAATTAATTGAGAATTGTTGGAACACAGCTACCAGGGAAGAGTAAAAAGGGTCAGAAATCACACTTAATCTTTGCCTTACTCTCTGATACCTAGTGTAGGGCCTCAGTAAAGACAAAGCGTAGAAGTGAGGATGCCAATGAATAAACAGAATGAGTGAATAAGGAATCCTAAAAATTAAGAGAAATTAATTAATCCATGTATTTTACATCATTTTAGTTTATTTTAGCTTCAATTACACTGACGTGCTGAGGATTTTCATTTATACTTCTATCAGCTCCACACAATAGGGGCCATAAACCCAGCCCGGTTTTCTGCCCGGTGGGCACGTTCAGGAGGATATATTGGATTTTCTTTTTTCGGTGCTGTCCCTTTGCTGTCATAGGCTGCATCTATCCCTAGAGCTGGGATGACACTTGTCAAGCACAGGCTCAGCTCCTTTATGGAAGAAGGAAAAGTCTCCCTCCAAGGGGAATGCAGCCCAAGCCACAGTGCCTGGCCCTGTCCATGGAAAATGAACTGCTCTATAGAAGCCTCACACTTCCCCTGGCCAGGAGCCCAGGGGTGGGGAAGAACCTGCACAACCAGGCTGAGGTGAGTTTGGGAAATCCCACAAACTTCAGATTTATGTGTGGCCAGCCACTGCCCTGGTTTGTGAATCCGGGAGAAATGTGTATTAAGTGTAAATCGCTAGTGTAAGCTCTAGTGAAAAGTCTCCATGTGACCCCCGAGGCACTGGTGCCTCTCCCACGTTGCTGCATGTTCAGCATCATTGTAATGGTGTTGTTATGGTTGGGATCAGTCACAGGTGGCACAGGTGGTTAGGCTTGCTAACCCAGCAACACTAGAGCATCCTTACAGGATGAGGAGAACAGAGACAAGCCAATCACACTACCTAACTCTGCTCCTTTTACTTTCATCACAGCGTCACCCCTATTAATATTCATGTGCTGGGATTCCCTCTGAGATTTCATTCAAATAAGGGTTTAGGGGCTAGGCAAATGATGGAGGAACCTCCACACAGCACTCCTTTTTGTAGGTTATTTTTCTAGTACTTGTGGTTTTAGAACTCAAATTTGTAAAATCTTGGTTTCTACAGAACAGTGGGTCTGACCTCTTCAGTGGAGTGCTTTAAGGCAGTGGTTTTCAAAATGCACTTTAAAGAACTCTTGGAATTTCTTCAGAGCTGCTTCATGGACGCTGGCGAAGAGACAGGAAATCCAACTGTTGGGGATCCCAAAGGTCACCCACACAGCATATGGCATGTTTTATATACTCAGCCACCACACGGGCTATTCGGAGTAAACAGTGTGTTCTGTGTGCGTGTCTTGTCTCGGAAGCTAAGCTTTAGGATGATAAAAACCGGCGTACATCTCCCCACGCCCTTCTCTAGCATCATCAAAGAAAGATCGGTTCTAAATATGTGATAGCATGGACAGACCATTTTTCAAGGAAGCTGTAGTAGTAGTAGAAACAGACACAGTTAGGGGCGCCTGGGTGGCTCAGTCAGTTAAGCATCTGCCGCCTCAGGTCATGAACTCAGAGTCCTGGGATCGAATCAGATTCCCCTGACTCAGATTCCCCGCTCAGAGGGGAGTCAGATTCCCTACTCAGATGGGAGTCTGCTTCTCCCTCTCCCTCTGCCCCTCCCCCGACTCGTGCTCGCTCTCTCTCTCTCTCTCTCTAACAAATAAAAATCTTAGAAAAGAAACAGACACATGTATAATGCCTATCAGTGAACTAAAACGCTTCGAGAGGAGAATTACTAAGCTAGGCAAAGAGGACTCACGGTGAAATTGTGCAGCCCGAGGCATAGGCATGGTGTCCCGTGTAGCGGATTTCACAGCGTACAACATTGTTGGAATAGTCCGATTCAGGCACCAGGTAGCTGGGGTTCACACTGACCTAGGCAACGTAAACATCATCCATGTTTCAGATTTCATCAGCAGTGTTTGCTGGTTAATTTCTTCCTATTTCCACAGGGCTAGAACAAGGAAATGCTTCAACTAAATCAAGCAGGGAGGGTATTTAAAAAGTAAAGCAAGTGGTGAAATTCTGGAGAAGTTATAGAAGGAGGCTCTATATTTTCCCCTGAAGTTCCTTAAAATATTTTTTTTTCATATAGGTAGGTTGGTTTAGAAATATTTCTAGGAGACATTGAATTGCTTGCAGGATTGTGGTTATCTCACAATGAATTCAGAAGGGGAAGCCCACTGAGTTGCAGTCGAAATAGATTAAAGGTTTCTATTTTCAAAGGCCTCTACCTTTAGAATGTAGTTTCCAGGTTTTACATCCGTAATATCAATCCATTGGCAGTCTATGTCTGCATTATAGGTATCATAACAGCCAGGACTCAACCCCTAAAACAAATAAAATTTAAAAATGTAAAAAGATGGTATATGGTTAGAGTATGCTAAAGAATGTGCTTATTATTTGCAAATTAAATTTTAAGTTAGTACTTACAAGAGTTTGACATAAAACTATACTTATATTGCATCTCCTTTGAGAAGTATATATTACTCAGCCTTATAGCACCTCCAGCTAAAAAAAATACAGGACTAATATAAGTAGTAGTACATCTAGCTTCTTAAAAGTGTCATCAATCACCAGTGATAAATACAATCTTAAGTGACAGAATAGGCCTCCATCAAAATTCTAGAATATCACCAGTTCGGGAATAAAGGCCATGTAATAATCCACCTAACTCACATGTCCTCAGTACAACCCTTCCCACTTTCTCTCGGAAATTACCTTCCTTAACTCTGAATGCCCCGATTTTATAGTGTTTGTCCTCTAATGCTCTGTATTATAATGGTACCATATAAGAATATATCCAACTAGAGATTATAAACTCCCTGAAGGTGGAGTCTTTGTTGCATTTCTGAGTAGCTAACATTTATAAAGTATGTAGTATGTGCCAGGAACAGTTTTAAACATGTTACATCTATAAATTCAATTTTCACAAGTACATGAGATAGGTGCTATTCTTATCCCCATTTTGCAGGTGAGGGAAATGAGTCATTTTAAGGTCAATCACGTCACTTGAGGATATATAGATAGTAAGTGGCTGAGCTGGCTTTCACTTTAGATGTTGAGGGCCGAGGGTCCCTGGGTCCCCACCACACTATTCTCTCTCTCACATTGCTACTGAAATATGTCATTGAATTAAAGGGACAAATGTATGCCTCAGTAAATCAATACCACCACATCACTCCACTTGCTAAGATACTCACTTCAATAAGGAAATGAGTGCCTTCTACAGGCAGGGAGGAGAAAAATTCCAGTAAGATAGGGTCCTTGCTCTCCAGAAAGTTACAGTCTGGGGAAATTTGCTCAAATTGGAGTCCGTAGGTATATTCTTGATTCCATTAGTTCTTCTTGAGAAGTTTGAACTGTATTTTCATTCTAATACTAATCTAAAGTAAATTTAAAAGCATATGCTAGAATCATTTTAACTCATTACTTCCATTTCATTTCAGCCCCCAAAATTTCTTCAGTGCTTAAGATCACTTTGGTCACCGGGGCGCCTGGGTGGCTCAGTTGGTTGAGCGACTGCCTTCGGCTCAGGTCATGATCCTGGAGTCCCGGGATCGAGTCCCCCATCGGGCTCCCTGCTCAGCGGGGAGTCTGCTTCTCCCGCTGACCTTCCTCCCTCTCATGCTCTCTCTCTACCATTCTCTCTCTCTCTCTCAATAAATAAATAAATAAAAATCTTTAAAAGATCACTTTGGTCACCAAAGAGATGGCAAGATCCTCTAAACATATTCTAGTAATGCTGGTGTGGCTCTTGCTGGATTGGGGAAGAAGGACACAGCACTGTGCTCTTATTCAGCACACAATAGCACAGACAGGCCAAACTCAAAAGTACCTGTGCCGCAGCAGGGAGAACCACATGAAGATTTCTCAGTTCCTGGGCCCAGCGCATTAATTCTGATTCTGGCACATCCTAGATACTCAGTAAGCATTAGCTATTGTAGGTGTTGCCACTGCTCCTAACACCAAGTCCCACCACCTCCCATGGCTCTGTAACACCTCCATTCATTGGATGAGCTACGTATTTAAGACTGTTTAAACAATGCCACAATGCTGATCTTACCTTCAAGTGAACAAAAGAGCTTTAAGGAGTGCTGAAATTGGTACTCCTGCTAGCAGGATTTAAGTTTTAACTTTGATGATTTGAACTAGCACACAAATAATGGGAATTTTTAAGGCTATTGAAAAATCAGGCATGTCCTGTATTCAAAATCAAACTTTAAAAACATGAAATGTGGAGAGCCTTGGGACGCCTGGGTGGATCAGTCGGTTAAGCGTCTGCCTTTGGCTCAGGTCATGATTTCAGGGTCCTGGTATCGAGCCCTGCATCAGGCTCCCTGCTCAGTGAGGAACCTGCTTCTCCCTCTCCCCGCCCCCCACTCATGCTCTCTCTCTCTCTCAAATAAATAAAATCTTAAAAAAAAATAAAAAGAAATGTAGAGCCTTAACTAATGCTGTCTAAATTAGCTGTTTGGTTTTAGCGAAAGAGAAGCAGTGGTTACATTAGACTAATGAGGCTAATGTAACTGTTTCTAGTTTCATATATGTTGAAAATGTAAATGTGTTATCTAAGAACTTAAGAGTTATATGGAAGGATAGATATAAGGAAGTGATATCTACTTTTATATTTGGATACATTCAAACAACATTGTAATACAACTATTCTAAGTCAGCATTGGGGTTTTGTGAGAGTTGTTTTTCCCCTTTAAGTGAAGTCCATGTTCAAGAAACGCCAGTCTAGTGAAAAACACAAATACATCAATCACTTGCAATGCAAGACCTGGTGAACAGTGGTTTAAATAGGACATAAATGGAAGATGATTAATAAGAAAGCTACCATAGAAAATGAAGTGGGGTCACCCCAAGGAACTGGAAAACTAGAAGCGCTATAAATACCTAGAGACCTAAATTCAAATATTTCAATAGAGAGCTGTCCAGAGTGCCTCTTTTTCTAAATGGAAAGAACAAACACCAGGGCCTCTGCATAGGCAGGTGGCCACTGCGGAGATTGCTGAGCGAAAAGGGAATCTCTCTGCCCACATATGTGTAATGTGTGGGTAGGTTGCATCAACTTTTAGTTAAAGGGTAAGTGCTGCCCCCAGAGCATGTGGAATTGAACCTCTTCTTCCTCCCATTGCTCTGATGTTTTAAGTTCAGAGAGAGAAACAGCGGTAACGTTTAGGTCACTAAAAAGCTTCTCTCCACAGCCCTGGGATTTGCTCCCCAAGATGCTAGCTGCTGATCCTTTCGTGCCCTGCGTTATGTACGTTCACTGCTCCTTGCCAGCATTTCGACTGCACTAAAATTACAACGTCCTCTTACAAATGAGGGTGTTTTGTGGAAATACTGGCATGGCTTTTAACTGACACACATGTTCCCATCATAAGACATACACACTGCTTAGGTCAGCACTATTTTTAAAAATCCATCCAAAGGACATCTGACATCAATTATACTGTAGGTTTAACTACATATGCGTGGAGAAAGAAATTGTGTCCTTCTGCTCCCATTTGCATGCTTGAAAGAGACCGGTTTTAAAGTTCTTTTTAAGAAACTTAGGTTCTGTCTTTTCTAACCCCAATCACCATTCTCTCTCTAGCTCAAGAGGTGGAGGGAGGAATGGTTTTAAGGTGAGAACACAGAAGTGTCTTCACCATTATTTACCAAGCCAGTTAAAGAGTACAGAATGAGTGCAGATACCAGAAACCAGTCAGATTTGTTCAGGGACTAAACCACTGCTTTTCACTGTGGAACATAGCGACTATGCACATTCACCTTCTATGATGATGAAATTCTTTAAAAATAATTTGAATCTGGGAGCCTGGGTGGCTCAGTCACTTAAGCGTCCAACTCTTGATTTCAGCTCAGGTCATGATGTCAGGGTTGTGAGATCAAGCCCCATGTCGGGGCTCCACTCTGGGCATGGAGCCTGCTTGAGATTCTCTCTCTCTGTCTCCTTCTGCCCTCCCCCCTTCTCTCCCTCTCTAAAAATAAATACATTAATTATAATAATTTGAATCAAGTGACCAGCTTCCTTTTCCCAATTATTTTCCATCTTGACTAGATGACCCCCTAAATCAAACAGTTTATATAAAAAAGACTGGCAGGAGGAAAGAAAAAGAGAAGACCACATTGTTTTCTCTCTGAAGCCTGCGGGTTCCTGAGGTCAGGGGGTCAACCCACCTGTGTATGCGCAGTACATGCAAATCGCCTGTGGTAGCCATAGTCACAGGATGTGTCCTCAAGACAGAAACTCGCTTTGTGGCCTTCAGCCACTCTCCTCTGGGTCCCAGCATCAAGTAGGTCATAGTGGCTGAATTCATCCATGCTGTGGTAATGTCTGATGTCCCACAGAACACAGAGACAGAGATCAGTAACATACGGAGAAAGGCATGAGGACTTTAGATGACTTCCCCACTGCCTCCCACACTTGTTTTCACATTATAATAGAGATCCAGTTTATCTTCTTAAAGCTAGATTCATGCTAGCTTTTTTTTTCCCCAGGAAGAGCCATCTATCAGAATTGTAAGCATTTAACCTTGCTTCTAGGAAAAAAGGACTTCTTTTGAGTGTTTTGTTTTCCTATTCCACCCTGTTTTATCTTTGAATATTAAATAGAAATAGACACTAAATGATCTGTGTTTAAGTAAGACCTGCCATATGCTCTCTAGTCTGTTTCTTTTGGCTGCCGGTACTGATGTTTCATTCCAAATAAAAGAAGAGCACATGACTCTTGGGAGGTTTCTGTGAGATTTTAAAAAAATGTAAAACCATTACAAAATGCAAGGGAGAAGTACTGGTATGTTTCCCCCATCATTATTATTTAACTAGTATGAACTTTTATTTAGAAATAAAACAATTCTATTTTATCAGAAAATTAGGTGTTCATATCTGCTTTTCTCATTTCATTAAAGAGAAGGTGCTGAGCCATGTATCTTTTCACATAAGGAAAGAACAAGAAAAAATTGCTCAAATTGCAGGAGGTTTCAGGGCATCCATCAGGATTTCCTGGCATTATCAGGATTCCTGGGCAAGTTACCAAGGCAAATTATAGAATCACCTTATACAGAGATCTTTAAATTTAGGACAGAACAGACAATTACCCTGGGTTTAACACAGGCGTTTTAAAAGATAGAGGTAGGTCCTTCTCAGCTCATGGAGTATATCATCTCTATCTTTCTTTGAGGTTGGTCTATGAATCCTTCTGATAACAACTTGTAGTTTTTATTAAATGCTAACTAGGGCGCCTGGGTGGCTCAGTCAGTGAAGCGTCTGCCTTTGGCTCAGGTCATGATCCCAGGGTCCTGGGATGGAGCCCTGAATCAGACTCCCTGCTCAGCGGGGAATCTGCTTCTCCCTCTGCCCCACCTCCCACTGGTTCTCTCAATCTCCCCCTCTCTCTCTCAAATAAGTAAATAAAATCTTTAAAAAAATACTAACTAACTGTAGATGATTTCGGCTATAACAAGCTTCTTTTAGAAATTTTACCTGTAGTATACTGGAATAAAATTCTAGTGAAGCCAATTGCTGTAACCTATCAGCAATTTTAATGAAGTGGACTTAGAATTTCCATTTTGAAAACAGGATCTGGTAGTTGATGTATTTTCTTAAAGGAAGACTCCCTTGATGATGTCACATTACACAGAGAAATTTCTAGAAATAAGACTTTGCATTTGCACATCAAGAGCTACCTGAAAAAGGAAGACGCAACTTGGAAGTACCCAGGAGGCCCATCCACTTACTGGTGACAACTGTGCCATTCCCAGGAATATCTCGGTCGGCTTGGTAAGAAATCTGATGTCCCTTGGTTTTTCACTCTTTGGGGGAATCTTAGCAGCACCCTGTGATCATAATCTCTGACATCTGCTCTGTATGCTGTGCTGTGATTTTGAAAACGAAAACATTACTTTCACAGGATATTAACTGAAGACAAATTCCAAGCAAAACCTCTTCCATTTTATAATGGCAACTACCTCCCACCTCCAACTAGACTATCAGCTGCAAGAGGCATTTTGCTTATTTTGTTTATTGCTGAATCTCCAGGTCCTAGAACAGTGCCTGGCAAGTGGCCAGAGTTCAGTGAATATTTGTGGAATAAGGGAATAAATGACAACTATGGAAATCTGCAGTAAAATGTAAAAAGGGATAATAAAATTAGCACTACAAATGTACATGTGATAAGTAAATTCTGTATTTATAATCAGTTCTTGTTTAACCACGTGAATGAGTAGAAAGTATCCCAAATAAAAAAAAAAATCCTATGTACTTATTAAGAACTTTGAATTCATCAATAGGTTTCTTCTTAAACACTTTCCTAAGATGTAAAGTGGGGAAATAATTCTAGAAGCATACACCCAGATTAGATAAATAATTTGTAACTTCACTATCTTGAAAACAATGGCATGACTGTAATAATATCCTAGGGAGTGCAATGGAGCGAGTGATGCAAGACTCAAGAATGAAAATGGCAAGTTCGGCTTTCTTCTCTTCCTTTAGCCTGACAGTTCTAAAGGGTCAAAGAGGGAGAAATATACAACTGAACAGATAAATATTACTCTGTCCCTTCTAATATATTTTGTGTGAATATATATATTCACATACTGTTGAGTATTTTCACTTTCCACTTGAAAAATTTTTATGAGACCTATCAGAACATCTTTTGCTCCCTCTGCTGGTTTCCCAGAAGCAAAGTCAGAGAATTCCATTCCCCAAACTGCTATGATTTTATTTTAGGACTGATTCAAAAACAAAGCTCTTGCTCATGCTCTTATTCTGGCTGAAGTAATACCAAAACAACTAAGTTAAATTGTGGCCTCAAACAAAAGATGAAAACCTAAACTTTGCTGATGAGGGGTGCCCCACTGGCAAGTTAGCCCTCTATTTTTTTTAAGGGGTCACTGACCAGCTCTTCCATTACAATATTTTTTCCACGTTATTGTACAGTTCTTTAATAGAAAGTTATGGGAAACCATTGGCTCCAAAGTTTGAGGATCTTGGAAAAAGAATGTGAGATCCCAACTCTCCAGGATAAGGATTTGCCTCCAGCTCCCTGATTTGTGTCACAGTTTGAAAGACAGAACCCACAGAAATCTTCAAAATGTTAACTCTCCATCCAGGTCCGCATGCCCAGGAGACCACATTCCACTTCGCAGCTCTTGCCCCATTTCCCAACTCTTGTCTGCATGGACCGAGAGCGGTCAGACCAGGCACAAGAGCAGCGCCTGAAGCGAGATGGGGCAGCCAGGCCGCGGAGATCCCAGCCAGTACCTGGCCAAGCAGTTTTCCTCTGCAGCGCATCTCAGGTTGTACATGGACATCTTTTGCACGTACGTGGACGCCTGGATGTAGTACGGGTCTGGCACCAGGTCCGGGAGACCTAAACGTCAGGAGGCGATGGGGGGAGGTAGCTGTGAGACAACCCAGTGGCCCCTACCCCGGCTCCGGGTCCCTCCGTGTCCCTTACTCTTCACCCTTCACCCAACCGGGCTGCGGGTAGCCGGAGAACGGGGGACGCCCAGGGCTGCAAAGCAAAGTGGAAAGAAAGCAGGAGGGGCCAGGCGCGCGGTTTGCACCGGATTCCAGGGCTGCCTCTGCAGGCGCAGGGGGAGGGAATAGGATCAGCGGGACTAAGTAAGGCCTGCCGCGCCCAGGCAGCCACGTTGGGGAGCCACAGCGCTGGGGAAGGGGTGCGCGGCTGCTTCCTGCGATTTGGGGGGTGCTTACCGTACTGGAAATAGCCGGTGCCGTATCCAGGCCGGTACCTGCTCCCAGGCCGGGGCCTTTCGTACGTGTCGTAGTAGTTGTAATAGGGGTTGTCGTCGGAGTACTTGTAGGGGTTGTACGGGTCGTCGCCCACCATGCCGTCTACGCGGCTGGGCGGCTGCAGGTTACTGAGCGCCGGGCGCTCTCCGGACGTTGTCCGGTTGCCGTCGCGGGAATCCCCAGCGTCGTGGGCGCCGGACGAGGAGTAGCCAGCTTGGAACCAATGGCGGGCGGCGGGTCTGGGTCGGCCGGCGACCCCCGACGTGCCTGCAGTGCGCTCGCGTGCTGCCGCCGTGCGGTTGCGGAGCAGCAGGATCGGCGTGCGCGGCTGCGGGGCTGCGGCGTTGGCAGCGCCCGGGGCGGTGGTGCCCGGGTCCCGTCGGCGCTGCGGCTGGTACTGCGAGCCCAGGCTCAGCAGGCTGAACACCTGCCCGTTGTTCTCCCATTGGATCCTCTGGCGCCAGGCGGCCGGAGCCGGCGGCTGCTGGCGAGGGGGCTGCTGCTGGCCGGCGGCCGGCGGGGCGCAGCGCAGGAGCGCGCAGAGCTGCAGGGGCCCGAGCAGGAGCGCGGTCCAGGCGAAGCGCATCGCTCCCTTTGCCTGATTGTCCCCACTCCGGGAGGACGTAGGTCGGAGAAAAGAAAAACGGGGCCCAAATCACGTGAAGGAGGGAGAAATCTTCAACAAGGGAGGCGGGCGGAGCGCGGGTAACTCAGTCACTACAAGCAGTGCCAAGGGTGGGCTGCAGACCCTTGTCCAGTAGAGGCGGCTGCTGGGACGTGGCACCCGCCTGTCTCCTCTTTCCCAGTCCTTCTGGAAGGCGACGGGGAGCGGCGCGGCGGCCCCGGCGAGCGGGCAGCGTCTGGAGTGAAGGAAGGAGGAGAGATTTTAAACTTTCTGGCACGTTTGCAAAGTTACACAAGCAGTTCTGGCCCGGCAGCCCCTCCGCTATTTGTTCACGTAATGCGATTGGAAACGTGCAAGGCGGACAGCTCCTCGCCTCTGCCCCTCCCAACCCGTCCTGTCCTCCTCCCCCCAGACACGTTGCACAGGGAGCGTTAAGGGGAAAGAACAAAACGGAACACACATCCTGAGACACACTCGGCTTAATCTGGGGCGAACATGCAGGAATTTCAAAAGACTCAGACAGGCGAAGGCAGCCAGGCCATGGGGCGACGCCAAAATATGCATGAAGAAAAATGCTATTAGGTCACCAGCCCTGGAGAGGCGGGAAGTCGGGAGGTGGGGAGGGTGCTGGGGGCGAGAGTCGGGGAGGGGGGGCGGGGAGGGATGCTTGTGACTAACGTTTATCCATAAGGAGTTAACCAGACAAATTTCCCAATGCATACTCACTCGCTTTTATGGGAAGCGCCCTCAGCAAATAAACCCCGGGATATCAAATTTTGTTTTTCTGTGTGTAGGTAATACGAGAAATGGGTTACAAATTTGTTTCCTACAGTGAGTATTTTAATAACCAAAAGTGAAATTTTACAGAGAACAAAGCCATCTAACATTGAAGGGATGAATAAACCTGTCTCTTTTTCAAAATGCTGGCCTGATTTGTACTTTGAGTGGGAGTGGAAAACCTCTTTCATCTGGACGGTATCTACCGGGACATTTCAGTAAAGGGGGCTATACAAGTCTGCCTAGGATCGCACTCAGAAGGCAGCTTCAAAGAAGCAGTTTACATGACTTTTCTCATCCTACATCCGATGAGGAGGTTTGACTTCGGATTAAAAAATAATAATAATAAACACTTTAAATCATTGTTTGTTAAATTTTTGAAAAGTCAGTAAAACATCCTATGGTGTTTGGGTGATCTTCCAATGTAAGCAAAGGGGTTTCTGAAGAAACAGCCTGGGGGTTCAGATTCTGTTAAGGACAGGGGAGTGTGAGGGACCAGACAAGAATGGGGGGCAGTTGGGTAGGAGGCAGGTAATGCCAACTAGAAAGGGATGCTTAATGGGCCTGTTATTCACATACCACACAGGGTTGGGGCAGTGTTGGAAACATTTCAAAGAAAAAAAATTTTTAGCCTGATTTAAAACTGTGACTCAGAACCAGATTTTAATAACCTTTTTATTGGTTTCATCATTGGGCTGTTGTCTAAATAGTCTTCATTATTCGCCTCGTCATGTTGATCTCTGTCTCCCCGCATTTAATCACCCCGTTTTGATGATGTGGACAGCTGCTGATCTGAATGCTTAGCATCCATTTTCCCTTTTTTCTAGCAAGAACAACTGTATTTTCCTTTGGGAAAAATCCCTACCCAGTTGCGTGGTACTGACTGAGCATTCAGGAGACTTCTGCCTCTTCAAGCAGTGGCAGTGAGATCCCAGCTTGGTTCATCAAACCATCTCCCTACCATTGGAATCATGACCAGATGGACACAAGGCTCAAAAATTCTGGAGCTCACACTCCCCGCTACTGAAGAAAGTTTCTACGAGTTCTTGCTACACAGATTCCCCCTGAGCTGTTTCAGACCTGTACCTTCCAAGACGTGATTGTTCAGCTTTTCCTTCCTTTTCTCCATTGCAGTCCTTTGTGGCTTGACACGGTCAGAGTCAATTGCTGTTGGTTGCCACTTTAAGAACCTGGACAGATACTGAGGGGAATTGTGATTGGTTCTCTGAGCTAATCAGATCTCATTATTCTGCATCCAACACACACGATGGGTTTGGCTCTTTTTGAGTCAAATTAGATTTGCTCTGCCCATGACCGCACAGCATCCTTGGTTACAGAAGAGTTCCAGATGGAAGCTTGCCGGTAGATTGATGAATCTGTTGCTTATATGATGAAGGCAAAATCCAAGTGCACATCCCACTCATGGCAGGTGAACAGTGCCCCATCTCTGTCTGAAAGTCAGAGACATTTTATAGACTTGCCGCAGAACTTAAAATTAAAGTACTCAATGTCTCCAAACCCACTAAGAGAAGATGGAGCAAAAATGAAGCAGGTGTATATAATTTGGATAGACAGGCCAAATGATAGGGGAAGCAGGAAGGGAGAGAGAGTGTAATTATCTCTCATCTCTCCTCTGCCCATTAACAGCTTATTCCCCAGAAAGAGAATCCCGTAACTGCTAGCGCTTGACCACACATCGCTGAGGGAAGATCTCTTCTGTGGAGATGACACTGTCAGATTGGCAGGCCAGAGCAACCCCTAATGGGAGGGTAGAAAGTTTATCCTGGATGCTGGTTAAAATACCCTTGTTTCCCATCCTGATGCTCAAATTAAAAAAAAAAAAAAAAAAAAAGCTCTGTATCTTTCAACAGCTGATTTACTTTCCCTGGCTCTTTGTTATCTATCTGTAGGATTCAAGGATTAACTCAAATTCTTTTTAAAGTGTTTTTCCTAGTCTTAAAGCCACTGATTTTTGTGAATGTCTAAGTAATTCCAGCGACTTTCCATCTATTCACTATAATGTTGCATTATGATCATTAATATTTCATTAAATAACTCCTTTAGTTGGACTTTAAAACCTTGGGTGTATTTTATGTGTGAGTTAGAGTCTGCAGACTGCTATTTTCCCTTTTTACGTATTTCCCTTCAGTGAAATTCGGTATACATTTTTGCTTTACACATGTTTTTTGATCACACTTATGCTATGAAGTGTAGTACACCATCGTGTTGATTTACACACATGAATACTCAATGAGTGTCAACTGATTCCCTCATTTGCAGAATTTATAGCTGAATGAGCTTTATCATTTGTTTCAGATTTGCTCTAACAGACTTAAAAATGTGTTATCAGAGTATAAATAACTAGAACAGTAGTGGTATGCAATATTTATTTTCTTTTAAATACACACACAGTACTTTAGGGAAGAAAATATATTACCCTTTGTCACTTATCCTAATAAGATGTTTAGCTGGTTTTCTCTCTCTTCCGCTTTCTCTAAACTCTCTCTGCCCTAAGACTCAGCCAACTGAAAACAAACATATGACTACCACATGGGGGGCAATTGAAAGTATGTTCAAGGCCTGTAGGGGATACCGTAGCCACAAATCGTGCTCTCTGTACAATGACAAAACTATTATTCACAAAACCGGAGAAACCACACTGCTTTCTAATCAATACTGAGACAACAAAAACAACAATGGTAGCTGTATCAGAATACCTTTAGCTTTTTAGCTTTGGTAAGAGCCATAACTGATTCCACTCTGACCTTGAGACTTTCCTTTCATGGACCGTTCTGCAGTATAGACCATATGAAGAGGAGTATTGAAATGAAACTAATTCTATTTTTTAGGTTCTAGGCTATCGTTATCAAGAATTTTTTAAAATTGTATTTATTTTTTTTTTAAGATTTTATTTCTCTGAGAGAGAAAGAGCAAGAGCTGGAGAGGGAGACGGTGATGGACGGAGGGAGAGGGAGAAGCAGACTCCCCGCTGAGCAGGGAGTCCGATGCGGGGCTCGATCCCAGGACCCTGAGATCATGACCTGAGCCGAAGACAGATGCTTAACTGACTGAGCCACCCAGGCACCCCTTAAATTTTATTTTTGAGGATTCTCTATACCCATCGGAGGGTTCAAATTTGCAACCCCGACTTGCATGCTCTACCAGGTGAGCCAACCAGGCAACCCATTCAATATCAAGAATTTAAACTGAAACGATGTTTGGCCCATTGACCAAGAAGTGGAATTTGTCCTAAAGCCATGTTCATAATATTTGTTCACTGTATTTATAGTTGTGGGATAATTCATAGAAGTGGAAAGTAGAATTATGCAGAAAGCCTAAACCATAGAACACTGCCCCTTGAATGACCAGGGCCAGAATACTGAAGAACTCCACGTTGAATATAAGCCCTTATCAGCTTTGTTCTTTAGTAAAAATGAATGCTTTTATGTGCTTTGGTGCCATGTAGTTTGGAAAACATCACAGAAAATAAAATAAAGGACGTGGGAAGTTAGAGGTCTGGAAGGGGGAAATGATTGAGAAAAGAGGAAGGTATGACATCAACACAAGGGGGATGACTTGAGAAACGAATAAGGAGCACATTTTTTTAAAAATTCAGAAAGGGTAGCAGAGTGAAACAAAGAACTAGAACTCATTTTCCTTGGAGTAAAATGGAGGAGAAGAGTGAGTTAGTCTTCAACTTTACAGTACTCTTGTGTTTCCTTTTCATTCTTGTCTCCTGCCACATACCACTTCCAGGTACTCATCCAAATATAAAAGTAGACAGTTGGTACACACTTGTCTATGTGTCAAGAATGGCCTGAAAAAAAATTCTGTAAACAGACTGAGTAGAAGAATTCCAGAAATAATGAATTTTAAATATATCTTCTTTGGTTACCCATCCCCTTGGGCCACCTAGGAAATGGAAATGTGGAACTTAACCGTAGGGAATTGAAAAGTATTTCATTCTAGTGTTTTTCTGCATATTCATATGTGATTAAGTAGATAATGGTAGTCATTACAATGAAATGGAAAAATGAGAAGAGATGAACTTAGGATAGGAGAATGGCTCTTTGAAATTCACTGAATCAGAGTTCAAAGTAATTTGATGATAGTGACCACAAAAATAAGGGGTCAGCCAGTTGGCAAAACTGCCTACAAGTGAAGTCCAAGTGATTGGATTGGGCTTGATGGACAGTCCAATGACAAAGAAGCAACTGTTCTTCATGCCATGCCGTGTATTAGGGTCATTCCTGTTTCTACTGGAGAGCATAATGTACTCCCTGATCCACGTCCTGGCCTACTTGCCCCTCCACTCTTCCTGGATTCAGCTTCACTGCCACAGAACACTGGAAGTCATTTAGTTTCATACAACCTGGGTGTGATCTTCTGAGCTGGTGGGATAGAGGTTAGGAGGACATTTACGCTTAACTAGGGCATCTCCTTCATCCACCCATCACGTGCAACGATTGAAGCCAACCTGTCATCT